TTTCCCTGGGGGTCCTGCTGGCACGTAGGCTGTCCTCCAGAAGGGAACAGCTCTCCTGTGGACTCTCTGTGCCTCATGGAGAAGACAGCTCAGTGCTAAAGCCATTGCAAGGCAGGTTGTCATCTCTGTGTTTGCACCTGCAATGAGACCCGTGTGTCCCTGGCTGGGAGGGGGTAGCTGAGATCCTCCTCAGGTGCAGTTAGATAGCAGGGAGGGGTTTGGAGATCTGTACATGGAAATTGGACTTCTCAGCAGTGTGTAGTTTCTTCTCAGGGGAACATCGGCATGCTGCCATACTCCAGCTCAAAGAACTGCAAGGACAGGACAGCTGAGACAAGGACTGATGGACAGACTAGCTCTCCGTACCCTGTAGTAAAGGACAGTCCATTTGCCCGTCACCACCGACAAGGTTTCACTTGGAGTGCAACAGAAATGCCATGGCTGTCTGCTTTAAAAACACTCCTCAGATGTGGTGAGGTAACTGGAACAAAATACGCAACCCAAAATCCCCACAGCTCTCCTCTGCTGTTGGGTGAAATGGGAGCAACAATGCTGAAATGCTCATTTGTATCAGAACTGGATTTAAACTGAGACTGTTCTTTCGTCCTGTTTACTTATGTCTGTAGGGTAGGACTGACCCTTCACAGAAGAGCTCCCTGCTCCCAGTAGCACCCTCCTCCATGACTGTGCAGACCACATGAAAGGCACAAGAGAAAACTACCTGAAAGGGACAAGGAAGGCTGGAGGGTTTCCATGAGTACAGGAACAGGTTTTGCTCAGGGAACTCTGTCTTAAATTCTGATTGCCTTTTTGCTCCTTGGACAGGTGCCCAAGCCCAGAAGCAGCAAATGTCCAATACCAGTACCATCACTGAATTCCTCCTTGTAACATTGACAGACACACGGGAGCTGCAGCTCTTGACCTTCTGGCTCTTCCTGGGCATCCACCTGGCTGCCCTCCTCAGCAACGGCCTCATCATCATTGCCGTAGCCTTTGACCCCCGCCTCCACACCCCCATGTACTTCTTCCTCTTTAGCGTCTCCCTTCTTGACCTTGGCTCCATTTCCACCACTGTTCCAAAAGCCATGGCCAATTCCCTGTGGGACACCAGGGCTATTTCCTACTCAGGATGTGCTGCACAGGTTTTTCTTTTTGTCTTTTTCATTTCAGCAGAGTATTTTCTTCTCACTGTCATGGCCTACGACCGCTATGTTGCCATCTGCAAACCCCTGCACTATGGGACCCTGATGAGTAGCAGAGCTTGTGTCCACATGGCTACAGCTGCCTTGGGTGGTGGTCTCCTTTATGCTCTGCTGCACACTGCCAATACATTTTCACTACCACTCTGCAAGGGCAATGCGGTGGACCAGTTCTTCTGTGAAATCCCCCAGATCCTCAAGCTTGCCTGCACAGAGACCTGCCTCAGGGAATTTCGACTTCTTGGGTTTAGTGCTTTTGTCTTTTTTGGGTGCTTCTTATTCATTGTGCTGTCTTATGTGCAGATCTTCAGGGTTGTGCAGAAGATCTCCTCTGAGCAGGGACGGCACAAAGCCTTTTCCACATGCCTCCCCCACCTGGCTGTGGTCTCCCTGTTTATCACCACTGCCATTTTTGCCTGCTTAAAGCCCCCCGCAATCTCCTCCCCATCCCTGAATCTAGTGGTGGCTGGTCCATACTCATTGGTGCCTCCAGCAGTGAACCCCCTCATCTACAGCCTGAGGAACCAGGAGTTCAAGGAAGCAGTGTGGAAACTGATGACCTAATGTTGTCCAGAAGCTATACTATGTCCACTTTCTTCAATGTGTGACTCATAAATGAACTCATTACTTGCCCAGACTTTCCTTCTCAGTTTTTGTAGTTGTCTTTCTTCGCCTGGTGGGTTTCCCTCTTTCATGCTCGTTTGAGTTGTGCTAATATTGTCCACCAAGAAATATGGACACTGCACTGCTACTTCATTATCTACTTCACTAGTGTGACGCAGAGACCATGTAAATAAGGAGCTATACTCCTTCTCTAGTTAAACATCATAAATGTACTTACATTGACTTGTCTATCTGAGACCCAAGAAACTAAAAGCAAACAAATTGTTTTACCTCATTAATTCTGAACCAAGTATAGAGGGGAAAAGAAGGACCTAGAAGCTTCCTTGGAGAAAGGGCAATGGGGCAATCATGGAGTCCCCCGTATCTTGTATGGGGAATGTTCACAGTCCTTAGACAAACCTCTTCCTTCTCTCTCTGATGACTTGCATGGTGTCTGTGCTTGCGAAAACCCTCGTCATCATGCTGGTGGTGGCAAAGCATCTGTACATTCTAATAAGCTTCTCTTGGTGCGTTTGTCTTCCCTGGAGATCTTCTACTCATCCACTACCCTGCCCCAGATGATGGCCAGGTTCGTGGCTGGGCACAGTGCCATCTCTGCTTATCACATTGCTAGTACTGTGTCCTGCACCTTTTGCAATACGGAGGATTTGCTTCTGGGGATTACATTTTATGATCAGTATTGGGCTGTGTGACATCCCCTGTTCTCTACAAGACACATGAACTTGGACATGTGTCTCCAGAGGACACCTGCACCTTTGCTAGGAGTATTTCTATCATCTACAGTCATCATTTCAGTCATGTCCCAGGTACAGTTCCATGGCCCCAGTGGAGTGGACCACTTCTTCTGGGAATTCACCCCACTGCTGGAGCTCTCACACAGTGACACCAAGACACTCCTGCTCTTCCATAACCTGCTTTTTAGAGACCATCCTCCCCTTCTTGGTTGCATGGTCATCTTGTGTGCATGAGAGCTTTCATCCTGGGACAGACCTCCCATTCAGCATGCGCAGGCAGAAGGCCTTCTCCACCTGCTCCGCTCACTTCACTAGTGCCACTGTTTTCTATGATACCTTCATCCTTGGGTGTATGATGGCCAGAACAGCCCTCCTGAGGAAGCTTGGCATAGTCCTTTTTTAAACCATGGTGAGACCTCTCTCAAACATCTCAGAAATCCCAGAAAGATTAAGGTGGTTCCAAGGTCCTCAGAAAAGGCAAATATCAAACCCATCTTCAAGAAAAGAAAGAAGGAGGATTGGGACTATTACAGGCTGGTCAGCTTTACTTCTGTCCCTGGGAAGGTGACGGGGCAAAGATTCTTGCAGCCTTCTCCACACATTTGACAAACAAGAAAGAGATTGCTGAACCCCTGTGGGATTTTTTCTGAAAAATCAGCCCTTACATGGATCATTTTTAAACGGCCAGGGCTGTAACTGAAAGGTACAAAGCAATGAGAGTGAGAGAGACTTTTGGGGTACACACCAGCCCATGGGGTATCAGAGACTGTCCCAAGGTCACATGTTTCACACAGGAACTGAGGGACAGCAGCAAACTTACCTGGCTGTCACATATTGCTTCTTTCAGTGCAATCTGTGACACAGGGTCCGAGCCTCCCTCTTGATGACACCCTTCAGGAGGAACAATTGCACAAAGAGATGGGGTGTGGGGGGCTCCAGTCCTTTTTATTCCATTTCCCAGGCCTTGCTGGAGCACCAGGACAACAAAGACGTCTGGCTCTGCATCATGTCCATGCTTGAGGTACCCATGGTCTGGACATAGACTTCGACTAGCCAAAAGCCAGCATTTCTCTACGAGACAATTCCCAGCCCAGGTGACATCCCTTCTGATCTCTCCCCATCTCTCCTCTGATCTGGACAGCCTTTCATGGCCCCCTCCTTGTGCTACCTTCAGGGACGAGATCTGGGTAGAGATCACTGTTGCATGCGGCACTGGGGTCATTTCCGTACCTCGGATCCTATGTCTTAGAATTTGTTAATAATCAAACCCAATCTGTGGGGAAAACTGGAACGGATACCTTCCCCCAGTCTTTCGCCCCCCCTCCCTCCTTCAGGCTGGTCTTAACGGCTTTTGAGAATTTGTAGTACCCGTGGGATGCTCAGGCCAGCACGCTCCTATTGTTATGCCTTCTGAATGCATTTCAGGTTTTGTTTAGGGTTAAGCAAGTAGTTACGAACATCGTGCAGAGACCTGCGCAGGGGCTGGATAGCTGTGAGTGGCTGGGTGTGTGGGACAGAATGGGCAAGTACCTAGGGCAGTGGACACCCCTGATGTTTTTTAAACTCACCCCTGAGCAAGTGCAGAATCCGGACAAACAAAGTATCTGCAAAAAGTGTGCTGCCACCCTGGGAACTCCAGAGAGACGAAAATGACCGCTACATGCGGGGGTCTGGCCCACGCCTACCGAGCCATGTTCAACCTGATTCATTGCCCTAAAGGGGCAAGGGGGAAAAATGAAGCGGCAGGCACTGCGACTGTTACTGCCCCCCCAGCCATCCCTGCAGCCCCTCCAGCCCAGCAAGCAGTCACAGCCCCCCTGACCAGCACCACGGCTGCCGCTGCCCCAATCATAGGGGCAGCCCCCGGGT